CCTTCTTGGAAGGGCTTCCTGTGTTGGTGATGGATGGCAGAGTCTTGAGTCCTGCTGGGATCTGCTTCACTGGGGTTCCTGGGCTGTCCTCCTCGGACGGAGAGCCCCACCTCCATGCTGGCCTCCCCCCTTGATGTCGCTCCCCTGTATCCTCCCTGAGTCAGATGAAGAGGGAGCAGAGGTCAGTGAGAACTGGGGTGACGGCAGGAGGAATCATTGTGCAAGGCACAGGTTTTGTGGCACAGATTAGGTGGGTCTTTCCACTCTGCTAAAAGCATGGGGCTATAAGAAGGAAGGGCCCAGGGTATGATAGGCCAGGGAAATGCAGAAGGACATGAAGGAATGCAGAAGAAATGCAGAAGGAAATGCATGTGGCATGAACTGGCTCAGTCGATGAAGCCCCTGTGTTAGGGGCAAGTTTGGCTCTTGTGTGGCATTTGTGGAAGGCTGGGAGGCTTGGGAACTGTCTTAGGACAGTTCACATGACCCTGAAGGGGTTCTGCCCCATAAGAGACTCCTGCATCCTCGAGAGCCCTCAGCATTCTGGGAAGGACTTGTGACAGGAGGAAGGAGCCTGCTCAGGGTCCTGTGACCGAGCTCGGGGTGGTTATGACTGAGGCAGAGTGGAGCGGAGCCAGGAACCCAGAGTTCAGGGTGGGAGGGTTCTGCCCCTGAATGCAAGCAGCCAGGAGAGAGGCTTCAGGCAGTGGATGTGCCAGAGGCTCACAGGGCACGTGGCTCCCAGGGGCAGCACTTGAACAAAGATGGTCAGAGATCATAGTCACTGTCACTGTCATTGTCATCCCGTTGTTCATCAATTTACTTGAGTGGGTGCCAGTAACGTCTCCTTTCATCTGAGTTCTGAGATTTTAACAGTCTCTCCTTACTTATCTTTCCCAATGCTGCCATATTGGAGGCTCTTCCAGGGTTCAGGGGAATGAGACCCGTTATTATTACTGTTTTTGGCATATAGAGTATGACATGGGGAGCTTGCCAGGCGCTGCCATCCTGATCATGGTCATATGTGAGAAAAAAGTGCTGGCAGGTCCCGAGTCCAGAAAAGTGTTCACATAGTGGCCTTGTGTTGACTGCTTGCAGGGGTGAGATTGAGCCCAGGACAAAATAGGGACAGAACCCAGGATAGAAGCAGGGGCAGAACCTGGGACAGAACCTGGGGCACATGCACCATGCAGACTTTGCCAGGAAGATGCCTAGACCACAGAGCAGGTCACTGTGTAGGGAACTGAGTTCTTCCCCTGGCCTCTCTTCAGCACTGAGGGGTCATAAAGGCTTTGGCAGAGCTGACCATACAGAGACTGGTGAAAGTAAGATAGTTTGAGATCACTGGAGACACGATGGCAGGATGTCAGTCCAGAGATCTCAGCACAGAGATCTATTGCAGGAGGTGTTTAGAACTGGACTCTGGCTGGGTTCCTGGCTTAGAGAACCCACTCTCCAATGCTTGCAAAGGAGACTGACTATGAAATGGTTCATTTTAATAAGTGTGTGGTGCCTGGTGAACTGGAATATGTCCAGCAGGACCACCAGGGAATCTATCAGACATAGAATCCACCAAGATGGAAATTCAGTCAGAGCCCAGAGCCCCTAACATGGGAATCCTGTCAGAGCCCACTGCCTCTAACTTGGGAATCTGATCAGACTCCAGAGCCTCTAACAAGGGAATCCAGTCAGAGCCTCTAACACAGGAATTCTGTCAGAGCCCAGAGCCTCTCATAAGGGAATCCAGTCAGAGCCTCTAACGCAGGAATCCAGTCAGAGCCCAGGGCCTCTAACAAGGGAGTCCAGTCAGAGCCTCTAACACAGGAATCCAGTCAGAGCCCAGAGCCTCTAACAAGGGAATCCAGTCAGAGCCTCTAACATGGGAATCCAGTCAGAGCTGAATCCTCTAATATAGGAATCCAGTCAGAGGCCGGAGCCTCTAACACTGCAATCCAGTCAGAGCCCAGAGCCTCACGGGCTGAGGGACAGGACACAGTGAAAGGGCACAACCACCCCATCAGCTCTTTTCCTGAGGTATCCCTAGTGGAGGCCATTGGGACAATAAAAGAAAATGTCAGAAACCAGACACTTATTTTCAGTCTAAGTAAAAGTGCTAAATCTAAGTGGGAACATTGATTGTAGAGAAAACAAAAAATCTGTAACCTAGGAGAATAAATCCGTGAGATTGTCAGCAGCAAGTTCCAAGAGAACCCAGTGGTGGCAGAGTGTCCTGGAGAAGCCCACAGACTGGCTGGTGGCCCTGGAGATGCAGACCACAGGACAACTCAGATGCGAAGGATAGTTTGAAGTTGTTGGGTAGAATAATGACCATTCAGCAAATTTATTGTAATGATTGCTAGGCCAGCAGAGAGAAAATAAGAATTTACTTCTTCTTCAAACTGATAAAGTTTCAGACACATTAAGAATGTAGTCATTAGATATGTTTGAGAAGCCCCAACAAAAGAGTTGATAGAGAACATTGAATTTCTGAAACTGACACATTTTTCCATTCAGAAGGCCTGTAGTGGGATTTGTGGGTTGGAGGTTGGACATGGTTCTGCCCATCAAGGTACACAGAGTGTACCTTTGGCACTGTGTGCCCACAGGCGGTCAACAATACTGTCTGACTGTATGTGTGGATGGTCTGGAGCAGGGGGGCATCAGGTGACAATGCAGTGCACTCCCAGAAGCCGGCTCATCATGTGAAAGAAGGTTCTGTATAAGCAGCCAGCTGAGTCCTATGCACACATCCTCAAGGGTGGGGATATGGCTCAGGGGCACAGCACGTGTTTGTAGATGTGAGCCCCAAGTTCCATTCCTGATCTCAGGGCTCCTGAGTACTGTGGGTTGTACACCCAGCACCACGGTTCAGGGCCATGCTCTGAACCATCCAACCTGCACTGCCCCCAAGTATTGCTGGGAGCCCCCCCCCCCACTCCCAACCCCGTGAATTAAAGTGAGAGAAAAATGCACAAACTATCTGAAAACAGAGAGATTTTCCTATCAGGGACAAAACTAGGAGATTGATGTTAATAACACGTGACATGCAGCTGATATACACATGCTGGCAGCTATTTGACAGATAGTGTCACATCTCTATTGGTGCTTTGTCCCAATGGTGTTGTGTCTCAGTGCTTCTGTGTCCCTGTGATATCACACTCCTACTGTCATGCCCCTAGTGATGTCACATCCTAGTGGTGTCAAGTCTCAGTGGTGTCATTTCCCTGAAGGTGTTGTGCTCCTCAGCCCAGCAGATCTCAGAGTTAGTTCTTTATCTGTCACCAGTCAGCATGCACACACACTGCAGGACTGTCAGCAGTCATCAGAAGCCGAAGCAGCCCAAATGCCCCAACAGTGAGGGGGTGTATAGAGTCTCCTGTGAGTCTTTGGTGCAAGAGAATTAATTAGTCATTCTGGTTGATGCTCTGGGGGCAGCTAGCTCCTGTAGGCACGTCAGAAGAAGCACTTGGTGATTGTGTGGTGCAGTGGAGATGGTCTCATCTCGCCTGAGGTGAGGCACTGTGGGCACCTACTGAGCAGAGCAAGCCCTGCAGAAGGAACCCAGGGTTCCTTTCAGCTTCTGCTCTGTGTATGATCCAAATAAAAAACAGCCCATTTTTGCTTCACACGAGCATTATACATTTAAAAGTAAGCTCATGGCATTTGGTAAATATGATCAAACAGACGTTTGTTTGCCTAGAGATTTGTTGATGAAATAAAACTTTCAGGAGGTGGTAGGAAGTGAAGCATCAGAGCCTTCCTGGAAACTCCAGCACCACCAAGTCCCAGGCATCTGACCTGTGTGCTGGGCTTTCGAGGACGAGCCGTGTGCAGCAGCTTGATCTGAAGCCATGTTTGCATCAGGCCTTGAAAGCCAATGCTCTTCTTCCTGAAGGTCCCTTGGGGGGTGTGTGAGGGCAGGGGTGGAGAACAGTGACTCCCTGGGTTAGTGTGCTGTGAGAGTTCCTGAGAATTCACAGTTCTCTAAAATTCATGCCTTCTTTTCTTGGTGCTGGTTCCTGGAAAGGAAGTAACATATTATGCGATCAGTTCTGCTCTTTTGTTTCATGGCATCTGTCTGATTCTTTTTACCTAATCCAGCAAGTGCCCAAGTACTGTTTCTGTCAGCAGGTTATCAGAAGTTTCTCCATCTGTGGTACCCACAGTATCCACAGGAACCCCTCCCCGCTTTATCCATGGTGCCAACAGTCCCTACCTGCTCCATCCATGGCACCCCACAGTGGCCGTATGAACCCCGCCCTGCTCCATCCACACACCCCAGAGTGTCCACACGAACCCCTCCCTGCCCCGTCCATGGCACCCCACAGTGCCCATGTGGACCCCATCCTGCTCCATCTGTGGCACCAACCATGTCCAGGTGGCTCCCTCCCTCCTCCATTCACGCACCTCGCAGTATCCACACGACCCTTCCCTGCTCCATCACACTTTAACTCAGCTAATCACATTTTAATCCCTGGTGGAAAATGAAAGCACTTTGTTCCTGCTGACCGCGGTACTTACCCAAGTGTTGGTTCCACACTGTTAACCAGGGCATCAGCCACCCTGCCAGCTGGCCCCTAACCTCTCCGAACAGGTGCTAACCCAGCTACTCCCAACATCCTAGTACTGACCATGGTGCTGACTCGGGGGCTAGCCCACGCTGGCGCTGACCATGGTGCTGACACGATATCCAGGGCACCCTGGCGCTGACCGTGGTACTGGCATGGACTTTTTGCCCATAACCTTGACGTGGGTGTAGCGTCCACATTGTGTGTTGACTGGGCACTGGCTCCATACTGTTGCAGAGCACGGGGCTGACCCAGTGCTTGTGTTCTGTCCACACTGCTGCGGCCTCTGGTCTGTCAGCATTACGCCCCTTCCCAGCAGGGGCTTCCGTGGATGCTCACAGTTCTGAGCTCATGTGACGTTGCACAGCACCCTGTGGGGCATATCCATCCTTTTTCACCAACTCTCCTTGTTTCTGCCCATTTCTTACACAGGCTCCCTCTCCGCCTGTGGCCTGACCCTGAGCCTGCGTCTGCCAGCAGCTCCGCCAACGCCCAGCCCAGCAGCGCAGCACCATGGGGACGGCTCAGGTACTGTGTGACCTCGCTTTCCTCCCCTCACGCATGCTCTCGTGCGTCTTCGCGGGGGAGAGGAGCCGGGGAGCAGGTAGTGGTCACGCCAGGTGGGTAAGTATCCATGGTGCCGTGGGGGGCGGTGTGGCTGCTTGGCTGTGTGCAGGCTGGTGTGCAACCCAGGGCAAGCCGTGCTGGGACTGTGGGTGGGCTAGGTGTGGCATGCACAGGTGGGTCTGTGCTGGGCACCAGAGGGACCCAGTGACCCCTGACCATGGAGGGTGCTTCTGCAGTCTGGTACTAAATGTTGTCAGTGACCTTCAGACAGTGCCCTGGGAGCCACCGATAGTCCCTGGATAGTCCCATGGGGGTAGGGATGGAACCTGTGGTTTCTCAAGGGGCTATAGGCAAGTTTTCAGCTTGCTCCTTGCCCTGTGTATACCTGTGTGCATTGTGAGAACCCCACCTGCCCCACCCATACTGACACACAGCACAGGGAATATCCAGGTGAGGGTGTCCACACAGTCAGGATGAGGGTACCCTTGGGTGGGACTTGGAAGAGCCTCTGAGAAGGCAGATGAGCTACCACCTTCCTCCCTTCAGATACACAGGGCCGACCTTCGGCACTCCACAGTGTCATTGTGAACCCCACCTGCTCTGCCCATGGCACCACAGTATCTACAGGAACCATTCCCTGCCTTACCCTTGGCACCTCACATGATCCACGTGAGCCCCTGGCTGCTCCACTCCTAGCACCCTCCATGACCATGTGAGCCCCTCTCTGCTCCACCTCTGGCACCCTTCAGTGTCCATATGAACCTGCCCTGTTCCATCCGTGGCACTCAGTGCCTCACTATACTCTAACTCTTCTCCATCCTTCACCATTGGGACTCTACCTATCTCAGGGTGATGTGGATATTGCCTCCTCTCTCAGGGTATGTGGATCGGGTTATTGATCGCATTGATCTTCTTAGTGAACCAGGATGTTTTGGTTTCTTGAATTCTCCTTGTTATCTTCCCCATCTCTTAGATAAAACATCAGGTCTTTATTTCCCTTCTACTGCTCCCTAGTTTGAATGTGATTTTCACCTGTCTGAAGGGCTAAGCTGCACTGTGCCTCTTTAGACAGTGTCAGGGGCCAGTGCCCTGAACTGATGGTGATTCTGTGAGATGCTGATGGGGCCCCTTGAATCTGTGATGGTCCTTGGGGCCTGTCAGCCTGACCCCTCCACACCAGCATCTGTGGGGTGTTACCACACTGTCTGGATGGGGTTGCCTGTGGTGTAGATGTGGGGACCAGAGGCGTCCTGCTCTAGTCATGACCTCCCACTCCACTGAACTGGAGCGGCTGTCCAGTAATTCTTGGTGGTACTTCCATGCCAGCGTGTTCTGTGCCCATGCTGCAGGATTTCATCCCCTGGTTCATGGGGCTCAGAGAAGGAGATAGAGGTTGCTGCCTGTTGTTCCCTACCTGTCAGCTTCCTCTGGTCTCTCTGGGTTCTTGGTGAAAGTTTCATGTCCTTGTGCAGAAGCCATATTCAGATTGGGTGTTCTGTTTCCTGAAACATTTGACAGGCTACCTGAGGAGGCCAGGCTGAGAAGCCTGTTTTTGGTCAAGCCTTGTATGTGAGACTGCAAGTCTAAGCAAGGTTAGGGTGAAGCACCTTCACAGGAGGTGAGGGTAGCTGTCACCTCGATCAGGGGTGAGGGTAACTTCACCTCAACAGGAAGTGTGGGTAGGTATCACCTCAGCAGGAGATGAGGGAGACAGTACCTCCATGGGAGGTGAGGGAGGCAACATCTTCATAGGAGGTGAGGGTTGACATAATGTTAAGAGGAGGTGAGGATTGTGTCACCTTAACAAGAGGTGAGAAGTGACAGTGCCTCGACAAGAAACTCCCCATCAATATGAGATTCTGCATGCAGGCTCTGAGGACATTGAGCTGGTTGGGGGCAAACTCACTTGGCTGGATAATCTACACTGGAACCTTCAGGATACCATAACATTGAGATGTCTTAGAAATAGCCCCCAGGGGGTTGTTCACATGGCCACTGTTTCTTTCTTGTTCTGGTTTGGTGCAGTAATTTTAGGCTGACCCTCACTTTGATAATCATTGCATTTGCAATCCTCATGCAAAATTTAGGACAGTACTTAAGCTTCTTTTGTGCTGAGAGGAGAACAGGCTGCATTTTGATTATTTTGTCTCAGTTAAAGTAAGAAAAAATTAAAGAAAAAAAATTTAATGTTGGTTCTGGGTCAAGCCAAAATAAACCTGAATATAGAAATCTAATTTGTTTCACTAAGGAAAATCTCTTTCCTCAAGGTAACTGTGAATAGATCTGTGTAGAATAGAGATAAAGATAATGTAGAAAGGGAAACAAAAAGTACCTGCTCGTTATCTTAAATGTCTCCGTATGATAGATCTGTGTTGGGAAATGGCCAAGTATCAAGATGCAGTTCATTCTCATTGAGCAAGAGCTGGTGGTTTTCAGTCAGGATTGCAGAATGCCCTTGTTTCTTAGTGTGTTTGACTTGGACAGCCCGACTTGCTTCGTTACTGAGTGCCTGAGTCCAGCTTGGCTTCGTTGTTGTCTAGGCAAAAACAGGAACCCACAGAGCTGTCTCGTTGGTCCTTGTCAGCAGGAGCACAGGCAGTCTGTGTTGACTGTGTACCAACTTCCGGTAAGAGGATGGTGGGGACTGAGCCTGTGGGGCAGCTGCCAGCCACTGCAACCCGGTTCTCATCCGCATCTGCCAGGAACCCTTGCTTGAGCACATGTGGGAAGTGTTGCACCGCTTGCCTTGGCTGGGCACTGGTTGTGAGGCTGGCTTCTCGGCTCTGGCGGGAGAGCAAGCCCTCTGATTTGCAGACATCGCTGCTGGCCGTGTATCCCTTTTCTGAGTACACAGGTCAGGTCTTCTTTCTTGCGCAGCAAGCACACTGATATAGTGACGAACTGTTAGCAGTGCCCAAGCCAGCATCATGAGATGGGCATGCCAGCAGAGTCCTGCTGTGTGTTCTGGGGGTTTCCCTAAACATTGGAGCTCAGCAGCAGTCATGGTGAGCTGTGTCTACACCCTTCCCTGATTTGCACCAAAGAATCATAGAACTTAAAGGTAGAAGTGCCATCTGATTGGCTACTTCATACACAAGCAATGTTGTGAGCGGTTCTCAGTTCATTGTCGTGTGAACCAGGAATGCCACTCCTACTCATGGGAATGTTGCTAGAAGCAGAACACACGGTCCATGGTAGGTTGGTGTCCAGCCACTGTCTCATGGCTTTACCTGTGGTCCATGACTCGTATCAGTGAGATGTTGTGTGCTTGCTTTGGGCACATTGTAGCCGACGGGCATCTCTGGTTCAGTGAAGCCAGGACCTGTGGGGTGGGTGGGGAGTGTGCTATGCAGGGGCCAAGACCTGAGTTGTGACACGGGCTGTGGGATAACTTGTAGTGCCCATCTCTTGAGGGGAGTTGTTCTGTGACATGAGCCGTGTCCAGGTCTCTGGATCCAGAAGCCCAGATGAGCCACCTCAATTTATTTCCTCTATTCAAAAAAATTTTATAACACTGTGATTTACCAAGTTGTTCATAATATAGTTGTTCCAGGCATCTAATGTTCCAACATGAATCCCACTACCAGTGTAACCGTCCCTCACCAATGTATCCATCCTGCCACTTTATTATTTTTTTGTTTTTAAATAAAAAGGTAAAGGCCCTCCCGTTGATCATCGATTTGCTCGAGCGGGCCCAGTAACGTCTCCATTGGAGACTTTGTTGTTACTGTGTCTGGGATATCGAATACTCTTGGTAGCTTGCCGGGCTCTCCGAGAAGGGCGGAGGAATCGAACTCGGGTCGGCCATGTTGGCCGCTTGTAAGGCGAACGCCCTACCCACTGTGCTATCGCTCCAGCAGCGTTGGTGGTATAGTGGCTAGCATAGCTGTTTTTAAATAATTAAAAAAAAATTTATTAGTGAAACACCATGAGGTACAGTTGTAGACTTACAGATTTTCATGCTTGGGTTTCAGTTATACAATGATCGAGTACCCATCCCTCCACCAGTGCCCATTCTCCAGCACCAATGATCCCAGTATCCCTCCCATTCCCCATCCCCCCATCCCACCCTGCCTCTGTGGCAGGGCATTCCCTTTTGTTCTCCCTCTCTTATTGGGTGCTGTTGTTTGCAAAAGAGGCATTGAGTGGCAGTCATGTTTGGTCTAGAGCCTACTTTCAGCATGCATCTCCCATCCTGGGGGGATCCTCCCAACGCCCTTTATTTGGTGCTCCCTTCTCTTCCTGAGCTGCCTTTTCCCCTGGCATGTGTGGCTGACCTCCAAGCCATGGGGTAAACCTCCTGGTACTAATCTCAGCTATTCTTGGGTGTTAGTCTCCTATTTTGTTACTTTATGTTCCCCAGATGAATGCAACCTTTCTATGTCTGTCCCTCCCTTTGTGACTCATTTCGCTTAGCATGATACTTTCCATGTAGTACCACTTGTATGTAAATTTCATGACTTCATCTTTTCTAATAGCTACATAGTACTCCATTGTGTAGATGTATCAAAGTTTCTTTAACCAGTCATCTTTTCTTGGGCACTCAGTTTTTTTCCAGATTCTGGCTATTGTAAAGAGTGCTGCAATGAACAAACAAGTGCAGATGTCACTTCAACTATACTTTTTTTTTGTCTCTCTGGGATATATTCCTAGGACAGCCTGCCCCTTTAGAAGGCACAAACAAATTGATTTCATATTGCTTGTAATGGGGCTGGAGCGATAGCACAGTGGTAGGGTGTTTGCCTTGCTTGCAGCCAGCCCAGACGAGCCGGGTTCAATTCCTCTGTGCCTCTTGGACAACCCGGCAAGCTACTGAGAGTATCTCCTGGCAAGCTACCCGTGACGTATTTAATATGCCAAAACACAGTAACAAACGTTACTGGGCCCGCTCGAGCAAATCAATGAACAACGGGAGGACAGTGACAGTGGACAGTGATTGCTTGTAACAACACAGGAAAATCACTGTATCACTGTATCACTGTATCACTGTCCTCCCGTTGATCGTCGATTTGCTCAAGCGGGCCCAGTAACGTCTCCATTGGAGACTTTGTTG